GGAAGGAAGGAAGGAAGGAAGGAAGGAAGGAAGGAAGGAAGGAAGGAAGGAAGGAAGGAAGGAAGGAAGGAAACCCAGAAAAGGCCAGCTTCAGCCAGGTGATCTTTGTTGCATGTATCACAGGGAGATGAGTGGGTGAGTAGATCTTGAGGGCTCCCAACCAATCCAATCAAAACAAGGGCCCACAAGTTTGGTGAGAGGCCTGGTCTCAAAGAAAGCAGAAAGCAACGAAGAATAAACTGTACCCCCTAGAGAACACACACACACACACACACACACACACACACACAATACAAAGACCTAGGTATGGTTTTCTGAACAGGACCCTACTCACTTAGGAAATAATGTCAACAAATGACAAAAGAAACCTCATGAAATCAAGACATTTTGCGCAGAAAAGCAAATTGTTAAGTGAACAAAGCATACAGAATAGAAATTCTTTGCTACTCATTTTATCTGACAGAGGACTAATATCTAGAAAAACCCTAATCCCATCAATAAATCAGCTAATGAAATAAGTAGACAAGAAGAGGCACAAAGGTCATTATAACATGAAAAAAATGTTCAACCTTACTAGCTATCAAGAAAAACAAACTAAAACTGCACTAAAATCACCATCTCACTCTAGGCAGGATGACAGTCATTAAGAAAAGATAAAACTGTTGGATATAGTGATGCACACCTTAAATTCCAGCATTCAGAAGGCAGAGGCAGGTGGATCTGTGAGGTCGGCCTGGTCTACACAGGTTGATTCAAGACAGACAGGGCTACACAAAATAAAGAAAAAAACAACCAACAAGAGTAACACCACCAAAAAAAAAAAAAAAACTGAAAACCTCTGCAGGCAAGGATGTGGACAGAAGGGAGCTGGTACACACTGCTGATGAGAATGGAGAATGTGAACTCCCCCAGCCAGTACGGAGGTTCAACAACACAAAAAACTAAAAAGAGAGCTACAATACAACTCAGCTGTAGCACTTCTGGGTATCTACCTACAGAACTCCAAGTCAACATATCACAGAGACACCTACACTTTATCAACATTTACCAAGTCACAAAAGCTAAGCTACAAAACCAACTCGTGTCCACAGAATAGATGAAGAAAATATGGTATATTTACAGAATGAAAACTTCTAACCAAAAGGAGCATAGTTATGTCATTTGTAGAAATATGGATGCAACTGAAATAAACATATCAAGTGAAATATGAAAATCTCAGAAAAAGATAGGGTATTTTCTATAGTTTACCTATTTATACAAAATCTAGGAATGGACATGAAAGTGGAAGTGGCACTGTCTAGGAATAGAAAAGGAAGGGCTAAAAGGAGGAGAACTGGCAGAAAGGGAAGAGTGAGGAAACAAGGCCGGGAACACATTCAAGAAATCACCTACACTTATAGGACAATGTCCTTATGGAACAGAATAAGTCATATAGTACTATGAATCTAGAAAAAAATTTTTAAAATTTAATGAAAATGAGAGGAAGGAAAAGTATTCGTTATTTCTCTGGTCAGAAATATCCTGGCCATTATCCTTTAGACACCAGAGGCCCAAAGTAATGAATAAGTATCCTCTGCCAAGATGAAAAATTTGTAAACTAGTGATCACATAAAGCATATTAAACCATATGTATTAAATATTACTCACCGATTCTTTCTCTACAGTACGGTTTAACATGACAACTGCTTTGGTCTTCTGCTGCCACACCATGAGCCAGAAGTGGCAACATGTGTTAGGAAGTGGACCCTGTAATAATAGAACAGGAGCACATCAGGGAAAGGAGCAGGAAAAGGACAAAGCTTCAAAGATGCTACTGAAAGGCACTACTGTGGCCAATGGATTAGGTCCTGCTAAGTAAATCAAGACATTAAATGCACTTAAATTCAAAATATAGTCTTTCTTTTTATTTAGACAGAAAAGAGATGATGGGGAAAGTACTTCTGTGTATGTTTATCTTATTGATTGTTGAATAAAATACTGTTTGGCCAATGGCAGCAAGTTAGAAAGGACCAGGAGTCAAAGAGGATTCTGGGAAATGTAGTAGAGAAGTGGTGATCCAGGCCGAAAGTGACATAGCAAGGAGACTCATATTTAGCAAGGAGAAACAGGAAGTGTACCCTTTTCCCCTTTGCCTCCTCCAGCGGCAGGATTTGAGCCACCAGCAAGAGAGGGTGCCAGCAAAAGGCATCCTCTATAAAGATAAGTCTTATAACATATATAGATTTATGATAATTAAGACTGAGCTAACAGATGAGAAATCCTAGTCATTGGCCAAGCAGCATTTGAACCTAATACAAGTCTCTGTGCATTAATTTGGGCCCTACCTCAGGCGGACGGCTGGCCTAAAGCGCACATGTGGCAGTGGGGCTCGCTCGGCTTTTGGCAGAGAGATTTATTGTAACAATATAGTCTGCATTCATTAAAACTTTTCCTCTATATTTTATTAACTTAGGCAGAAAAAGAACTGTATGGGATAACTGGTTCAGAATTAAAAGCTGATTAACTAGATTCAAATAACAGTTACAAAATACAAGCAAGATTTTGTGACAAAGCCAACTTAGTCCACTGCTTCTGATACTATCATGTTGTTATGGCTTTGCTGGTGTGACCAAAGGTGCCTACAGTACAGCACACAGGCAAACCAGAATGAGAATCCTGAGTGAGAACACCTGGGGGCTCTAGTTCTAGCTACAAAGGATGTCAGAAAAGGAAATCTGTCTTTTTCAGTTTCTGCCAATAGACAGATGACATTTCATCGGAGGATCTGAGGGAAATGGGGAAGTTTATGTCATTATTGACCAACCAAACGGTTCAAATCAACACAAAAGAATTTGCAGGGGAAGAAAAGTCATGAAAGTACCTGCAAATCAGTTTGCTGTGCCTAGTATCATCTGGTAGAGCTAAAAGTGGACAATAGTCCTTATTACAAAAAAAGGGGGGAAAAAAGCAACTATATACTTCCAACTACTTTCATGTTTGTCTTAATGATAGCATAGGGTTTAAAAAACAAAACAAACAAACAAACAAACAGGATATGAAGAAGCATGCCCAGACTGACTGAATGACTTTCCTTCCTTTCTTCCTTCTGCCTTCCCCCCTCCTTCCTTCTTGTAGGGCTGGAGATGTAGCCCAGGGCACCTCATGCAAGCTGAGGACATAATACCCTACTACTGAGCTCTAAAACCAACCTCCACCTAAACATTTAGCAAACTTCCAGATCAATGTAGCAGACTATCCAGTGTTGGGAGCAGGGAAGACCAGAGCTGCAGCCGCACATGTAATAAGAATTAAAATAGTTCTACACAGAAATCATCTTTAGGGCAGATGGAGTTCTTGGTGTGTAGCTCATATTCAATACATATTGCTTAACTGAATAAACTCTAAAGTTAACTTGTAAAAATGCTAGATGTCTGGGAAATTACAACTTTATTGGTTTTTTTGTTTCAAAACAGGGTTTCTCTGTGGCTTTGGAGGCTGTCCTGGAACTAGCTCTAGTAGACCAGGCTGGTCTCCAATTCACAGAGATCTGCTGGCCTCTGCCTCCCAAGTGCTGGTATTAAAGGCATGTATAACCTTATTGTTAAAGGATATGATCCTCTTCATCCAATGTACATCCATTTCTAAGATGAAAAAACAAACATCCTCCCGACCAAAAAAAGAAATGAGAAAATCCCTAGTAAAATGAATGCCTTTTCTTTTCATCAAAAAACAAACAAAAAAACAAAAAAACAACAACAACAACAAAAAAAACACAACATGGGCCGGGAGTGGCAACCCACTCCTCTAATCCCAAAGAGAGGTCTCTGTGAGTTCAAGGCCAGTCTTGGTCTACACTGTGAGTTTCAGGCTAACCAGGGCCACATAGTGAGACCCTGCCTCAAAAATAAATAAATAAAAAAACAAAAACAAAAACATAAAGTGAGACCAGAAAGATGGCTTAGCAGTTAAGGGCACTTGTTGCTTTTTCTTTCTTCTTTCTTTTTTTTTCTTTTTTTGATTGTTCAGACAGGGTTTCCTCTGTGGCTTTGGAGACACTTGTTGCTTTTTCAAAGGACTCCACAGTGTGGCTTACAGTTACCTATAACTAGCTCTAAGGGATCTGACACTTTCTTCTGGCCTCATTAGGGACTTTTATATGAGTGGTGCACATATGAAACTCTCTCTCTCTCTCTCTCTCTCTCTCTCTCTCCTTCTCTCCCTCTCTCTTTCTCTCTCTCTCTCCCCCCCCCCC